GACAAATGATGTTCCCGAGTCATATTGTGGTTAGTATCAGTTAAATTGAGCTAATGAAGTACTTTAAACAGTTTGAACTGTTTATGTTCTTTAATCTGTCCTACTATTTACACAAAAACATAAAAGAATACACAAAACCCTAATTTTTAAGTTTTAACTACAAAAGCGAAAAGTTACATACGTTATGAACTGAAAGAGCTATTATTCTTTAATAGGAGGGGCGTGTCAGCACGTCTTCGTAAGTTTATTAAGTAATTATACGTATGTCCTGTCTATAGCAAACATGTAAAAATACTCCCCACGTGGTTAATGATGATGATGCAAACTTGGTTATATTGTGTTGCACTGGGGTAAGTGTGAGCATAATATAGGAGAATGTTAAAAATTTATGGAAGCGAATACGCCAATAATGTCTCGGTAACACTACAAAATTATAGGTTCTTTATCGAAATTACGTACTCATATTTCTGTAACGTCATTCGACGTTTTAAGAGTGAAGAAATTAAAGGTGATTAGGTATAGCGAGTACGTAAAACCATAAATATTAGTAGTAACCATTAAATTTTGAAACGTCTTTATCGTAAGGATTTTTATGTATGAATATAAAACATTAATGATACGATACTAGTTATTTATTCTCTTTAAATGCTAACAAACGGCCTTGTCGTAAATAATCGGCTTAAGTAAACTCTAATATAAAAAACGAAATTAGTTTGCCAGGTCATAAAATGCGTAGGCACCTATCCTTGAAAAGGGGGTGAAAATCAATACGATAAAGAAGTAAAACAAATCATTAGAAATTGGGCACTCAAACATGGCAGTTTTGGTAATTTAGTAATTGGATTAGCCTAAAATAACTGTTCACAGGTCTGTGAAGTATTTTCACGCGATGGACATTTCACTGAACGACTCAAAAGCTACCAAAAATTCTCGATTTACGTTTTTCTTTGCTGTTTAAAACATTCTTCCCTTTCCGTTCCACTTACAACTGCGTCTTCAAATCAATTAAACACCTGGCGGCGATAACAAATGTCTCATCGCAACGATCGGAAATAACATGAGATAAACTTTTTCAAAAGAACACGCGATTATTTCTGGGTTCCTCTTTCTAATTGAACAATAAAATAAAATCAAAATACTACGCAATTGTTTAAACAAAATTAAGCAACAGATGATTCGTAAACACATACAGGGTGACCCATTACTATTATAGATGCCGAAGGCGGAATAAAACGCCAGCATGACGTAGTTGATACAATAATATAAATACCTCGTTAAACCAGCAACTGCTTTGCTTGCACATTTTTTAAATTTAAAAAAATACGCTAAAAATGCAGGTCCGCATTAAACACTAAAGTTGATGATGGGCCAAGAAAACGAAACTATGCCGGTTTGGCGTAGGAAAAAAGTCGCAATGAGTCATTTGTTTGCTCTCTTCAAATAAACTCACACAAAAATTAAAGCACTTCGGTTATTTTCCGAAAAGTATTCGGAATTCCTTCACTTTCTTAGCAGCGCTAGGTTTTGCTCCAAAATAAATTTTTCCTCTGTTTAACCGACTTCTTTTACAGGTTCCGAGTTCCCAATCGCCACCCTCAAATAAATTTGGGGCACCCTGTACCTTTCATTTTAAGGATATATTTAAGTATTCTTATAACGGAGTAAGCAATTGCAAATACGATAGGTTTTTTATTTACTTATCTTGGGGTATGCAAGATGCTAATTGGAACTTGATTCATAACTTTTCAGCAGATAAACCAATGCCTACGTTATTAAATTTTTTTGTATACAGAGTGTTTCTTAATAACATGCTAATATTTAAGGGTATCTTTTGAGATACAGCATTGAATAAGTAATCATACTTATTCAATGGATACAGGGTGTTAAAGTTTTAAGAAAAAATCAATTTGTTATTGTCATTTTCACAACACTTTAAATATTTTTACGAAATTTGGCAAACGACAACTGTCAAAAGTGTTTATGTTTGCAAAACAACACAAAATCTAGATCGTTTTTAACAGCGTACAAATGAATCTAATTTTTTAAGCGAAAACGGCGAGTCGTGCGAAAAAAGTCAAGAAATCAAATTTTTTCTAAATTGTATGAAGAATTCAAGCATAATTTTATTTTAAAAGAAAGCAGTGGCGTACTACTTTTTCCTTCAATAAAACCTATAGTCTAAGTCCAGTACGGATACAAGTGTATGCTCCTTTCGTATAAACGCCGTATACCAAATTTTATAAAAATATTTAAATTGGTATGCAGATGACAATAAAAAAATGAGTATTTTCTTAACACCCTGTATCTCAAATATTAAGACTTTTGGACGTACGCTCATAGAAAGCTTTTTCCTTAAAATGGACCAAAAATCACCCCCTTAAATATTAGCATGTTATTAAACCCTGTATATCGTGTTCTTTTATTGAGTTTGATCCAAGTCAAGCGGGCGCCCACGAGGTAGAGGTACGACAGTTTCAATATGGGACTACGTAAATTAGTCGCACGGTTAGCGTAAAAAATATAAGTAAAAGTGTCGAACATATAGTACAGGAATTCTTATCACGCATCAAATAATACACTACAAACCAAACGTACGTCGACATCAGAAGGGCTGAAGCACTTTTCAGATCAATCTCCTCGAATCTGCGCGAGACGTAAGGAGATTCACCTAGGATATTGCATTGCATGGTAGCTTCTCACTTAGTAATTTTTGCTGTGCACAAAAAAACATTTTCTGACTGCCTATAGTTTATTAAGCGGCAGAGCAAAGCGATGCAAGCTTTATAGGGGAATCGATGGTGTCCGTATGTCCGTGAACACGATAACTGTCAAACTCTTGGACAAATTCGGTTCAAACTTTGCACAGTTAACCTATATGCCCCATGTAATAAGCCTATTGAAAATGGATCAAATCCAATGACCTCACGCTTCTCTGTCCCGCTATAAATTTCCTCTCGAGTTAAAATATATTATTGTGCAAACTACGTGACCTAGACGTTATTTTCGTGTCAGCGCCTTCAATAAGGTTGGGCCACCCGGTATGTGGCATAATTTCAATTTTTAAGTGCACATCTGGTGGTTTTTTTTTTTTTTTTTTTTTTAAAGGTGCAGCTCATCAACTACTGGGTTATTAGTGCTACACCCTCCTTTGATCGTTAATCGCAAAACGAGTGTACTACTTCGGAATTATTGTAAGAAGAAATAAGGTAAGAACAAGTTATACATATATTCACGTCTTCGGGTCTGTGAAGACGACTTACTTGAACACACACAAGATAAGACCTCGGATAGAAGGAAAACAGGTAGTAACAAAAGGTAAGAAACAGAGGAAAAAACCTAGGAAAGAAATACATGTACTATTTCAGTTTTGAAAAACCACAAATAAACGACGTTCATCAGAATTCTTTGTCCAATCTAGTAATCCTAGCGAACAGGAGGATAGTTTTCTGGTTATTTGGAGACAGTGCTTCTTCCAGTGTGAGTGGCACCCGTAACGCTCTTCTTACATTCTGGTACCTCGTGCATTCTAACAATAAATGGGAAACGGTGATTTCAGTGTCGCATAGGTCACAGATATCTGGTGCGGCTTTTTGGAACAGGTGGGAGTGAGTGACTCTAGAGTGGCCAATTCGCGCTCTGGTAAGAAAAATCTCCTCTCGTCTTGTTCCGATAGCAGGCCATGGATCGACCTTTGCTTTTACGCGTCGGAGTTTGTTGTTATTTTGTTGATCCCATACTCTTTGGAATCTCTCCCACATGGAACTTCGAACTTTTATTTTGATATCCTCGGCTAGGATCATGTTGTGGGACTCTCCAGAAGTTGTCGCGTCCCTAGCGACAGAGTCAGCGCTTTCATTTCCCTCTATACCTATATGGGAAGGAACCCATATAAATGTGACTTTGCGGTGACTCTTAGATAATTCTTGTTGGATTTCCGAGCTAAGTAGATTTCTTGGGTTAAACTGTTTTATACTCATAATTGCACTAATGGAATCTGTGTGAATGAGACTATCTTTATTGTTATTACCCTCATTAATGTGCTTAAGAGCCTGCCATATAGCGAACTGTTCGGCTGTATGAATACTACACATCCTTGGTAGGGAAAAACCGAGGTGAATTTCATTGGCGACAACTGCAGCCCCCACCTTTCCGTCGTCCGTTTTGATGCATCAGTGTAGATGTGGTGCTTCCTTAAATATCGGGGACAACGAGAAGACGGTACTTTTTCTTTCACGATGGTCTTAGAGCCTTTACGCGAAATTTTCATTCTCCCGGTCAGTGTTTATGTAAAAGCATAATTCATGGATATTAACATATCAAAAGTGCGCAGAAAAAGTTAAGCAATCTTAATAAAAAGATGTAAGGTATTACATCGGCAAGTGTAAAATTGTTTGTTCCAGATTATTATGAAAAAGCTGTAACTAATGTAAGATTTTTTTGTTTTAAATGTCGACCGCTTGCTGCGGTGTAATATGTCCAATTAGGCTTTGTAAACCTTTTTTTCTTGCCTTGATGTGTTTCGGAATAAATTTTTGTCATTGTTAATCAATTGTGTGTTTAGTCGAACCCAAAGTATGGCCCAGATAGAGTTTTCAAGTCAAATTTTCGTGCCCAAGAATTATTCTTTGGAATTTTCGGAAGTTGATCGGGAGCTGTACGTCTACGAGGAAAATAACATTGAAAACCTTTAATCCTATAGATACGTTGAAATGGTAAAATCCATTGGAGCAAAATCCAAAGATTCGAAATTCATAAAATGAAAACTGAACGATACTTATCCCAAGAGCAGAGAAAGTTGAAGCGTAACATCAAAACATTTCATTCTATTGTTTATTTTTGGTCAGTGAAGTGATTCGTAGAAATTAGTTCCTCCTCGGTAATGCAGTTTACCGACTAGAATAAATTAGAACGGTGGGTTAAAACGCATCAATAGGATGGGATGGCCATCAAATATGTGCGAAGAAATTAGTACCAAGGAGGACCTCATTTAAGTGGCTGTTATCTTTTTAGCGGCAAGGCTTAATTTCGTATTGTACACGAACGCTCTTGTGGATAGAATGTTAACAAAATGCGAGGCTTACCTCTGACGTATGGGAGTGGTAGATACTTGACCGTAGGTTTACTTTCACCGATAACAATTAAGCGGCTTACAACAGTCATCTTTTCACTTATAAACTGTCTGGTGTACAATGAAGGTGCGTCGTGTTTTTGGGGTGTTTGTATCAATCCTCCTATGCTCATGTATGATAAATGAGGCGTCGTCACAAGAACCTACTTTTGAGTTACCAGTCGAGCTTATTGGATTTCCAGCCGTCGTGTTATTCGTGCGTTTATCAAATTTCGCAAAAAAGTTAGCATACACTCTGAATCCAAGTAAGTTAATAACTAATTTCACCATCAATATTATAGTAACTTCCGATTTATCTTAGAACTCATACTGTTCCCTGGTTAGAAAGTTACATGGTCACGAGCTAATCCGTATTCATGTCAGCATCCTTTTTTTTTCACATAACAAAACAATTGCCTGCTTCACATTTGGAAATAAATCCAAAAATATTTGCAAACAATGCCTCGTTGAAATTACAACTTGCTAATTACAGCTTCTTATTTGTGCAGTATCCCTTTCATTTTCTCACTTTCATTTTATTTAAATACGAAGACACCTCCAATTTTGCGATGAGTACGTAACCAAAATATTTGGAATTTCAGATTAAGATAATTACGTATTAATGAACGTAATGCCAATTACATATTTCATGATAAAGTAAGGTGAAATTCAATCATTATAATAACGTTTCTGTAACTTTCAAATATATGGCAGTCTTGTCAGGTGTTTTTTTCGCAACGTTTTTGTTGTATACCAATTGCTTTATTACCTTGACTCACATTGACATAATATTATTTAATTTAAAGGTTCCTGAAGTGGAAAAACGACAATGAATGTCGTACAGCGTGACCGGTTAGCATGCTTATAATATACTTACATACTGCATACCTATTATTGCATTCCGATTCAACGCTAATTAAATTGCAAGGGGAAGTTGTACCGGAACCTCGTTACATCTTGAACATTGAAGTGAGTTTTTTTCCAAAATTTCTGGAAATTGCTTGTATGAAATAATCACAATTTTGGGGTAACGTTCTCCAAAATTTCCGTTATCATACTTTCGTGCTAAAAGGTGTTCCAAATGGTGCGATTTCTACTGCAATCAAAGGATATTTACATTAATTGTGTGTACGTTGCGTGTGGAATTTTAATTTGCGGAATACGTTAGTTAAGGTTTTTGTCCATTTTTAACGTAATTAATGATGGAATTCAAAATTTAACGGTCAGAAGAATCGATACGCAAGACTTCTTGATTTGGTCAGTTTTTCTAAAATAACATTCCGTAAAAAACGCGGAGGATATTTTTAGCAAATTTCCTACGAAATACTGAGACGAGACGCATTTTTCTTTTCATAACGGAAGACCTCACGAATGGATACGTTTAAATTTTTTATTGGCATTATGGATTGCCTACCCCCCTTAGCACCTACATGTTTCTAGTCCGGGCGCTGGTGGCACGTGAGTATTTTTTCGGGGTGATTTGAGATATCCGATCGTTTTCCGATCGAACACGTGAAAAGACTCAATTTTTCAACTTAAATTGTTAATGACAAAAAACTGACCAGGAATTCGCCTGGATACCCTCCAAATTTGGATTCAGCGACCTGGACCTGGACAGCGTTTTTGCCTCTATCCATGTTTTTCCTCTTGTTTCCAAGATTTCTTCCACTTGTTTGTTCCACGTTGTCTTTGGTCTTCTCCTTCCTCCTTTACCCTGGCCTGTGGTTTCCCATATACGTCTGACTGGGATGTTATCGCCCATCCAGTTTAAGTGGCCAAACCATCGCTGTGTTTCTATTGTTTGGATGATGTTTCCACTCGTAATTCCTCCTTGATCGTGTCATTTTCCTAATTCGTAAGGTGGAGTAGTATAGAACAACTTAAGACCTTCTGCAGAGGCACTTCTAAAAAGCATTATGCGGGTCACTCGGTAATTGGGCGCAAGCCTGTTGAGGCCCCGAACAAGAGAGGGATAGTAAATAAATAAGTAAATAAATTAAATAAATTTGTTATTCTGTTATATCTTGTTATGTATTTTATTCTTCTTAGAAACTTCATCTCCATTGCTTGAACTTTACTTTTTAATGCATGTTATCTGTCTGTTGTATTCAATAATCCATAGTTCTTTGTATTATCTGTTTGATAGCTGAATATGTGGTCTTGTATACTTCTGTGTTCTCTAATGCTGCTTTGTGCATTGTGTAGCTGGTGTTCTGTTTGTTGCTTCAGTTTAGCGATGTTACTTAAGATAGTTATGCCTCTATCGGGATTATCACTCCTATTCGCCAGTCTTCTGGCACTTCTACCTTTTGCCAAACTTTATTCAAACATTTCTATTCCGCTTTTTTCCTATCATTTCCGGTGTTATCTTGTCATGTCCTGCTGATTTCCCTTTTTTAGCGTTTTTACTTTCGGTATAACCTCTTCCATCTATCTCATTTCTTGAATCTTTATTTGTAGTGTCGGAATGTCTGTTATTGCTGAGCAGTTCTTGAAGGTACTCCCTTCATCTTTTTATTACTTTTCCTTCCTCTGTTATTTTCTTGTTTTTGCCTTTTAAGTGCATAGGTTTATCTCTAGGTTTCTTCAGGCTTTTTTTCACAATCGTTAATAACTAAATAAATGAATGAATTCTCGAATTTGGAATTATGTTTTTGAAAAACCACTTGGCATTGAAAATAGTATCTAGTTACAGCGGGGAGTAGTTATTACTTCAAAGGAAAAATTTTTTCTTGGATAGAATGAGGTCTATTTGGGTGGCATTTACTTCGAGGCTTTACGTACACCCAGTTTAACGAACTTTGTTACTGTTTAGTATAATTGGAGAAAATCCTCAGTAAGCACATGCACAAAAAATTGATTTCAAAGACGTCTCTCACAATGAGACCGATTGAACGTTTATTGTATCGTTTTAGTTATAATTTCGTTGATTAAATCTCGTATTTACTGCGTCAATACTTCTTTAACACTTATGATGGGGTTCTCTCAGCACGTTTACGTCCGTATTCGAAGGACGTGTTTATTTATTTACGTTTTCAACTCTGCAGGTAAGAATTTTAAGTTTCCTGTTCGGTTTATAACTCGATGGAAAGTTTGCGTATTTTACTTGAAAGTAACGTTCGGAACTACACAACTAACTCGTTTTTCTTTTACCGAAAAATCTAAATTCCCTTTCTTAACCGAAGTGACTTGCGATCTCTCTTCGCTAGCTGAGAGATTTCATCTGTATAATTTTTCAACTCTAAATGATCTCTTTAATTACTAAGTAAATCTTGCACACCCCCAAATGGAAATATATCTTCAAAATGGAGGTATCTAAATTTTCTATTGGTTAATATCTTTTGTACCACCAATCCCGAGCGGTTTTAAGGTGGTTAATCATCCAAAAAATTCAAGTTAAGCATTTATTTGGTTAGTGGTTTTATCTCATGCTTTTTGAAAAATGAAATCTTATATTGCTTCTGAAAAGGATGTAATTTGAGCTATACCCGAGACTTTAAGACGCTAAAACCTAAAAATGTCCTTTTCGAGAATGCGCTGGCGTTCATTTATTTTAAAAAAATAATTTTAACAAACTCTTAGTAATTTTCACCTTTCTGATGGTGCTAAAATAAAATTGTTATGTTTTTTGGGTTTCGAGCAAATCACGCCAATTTTATTATGGACGCCATATTGGATTTTTACGTCATTCGATCGAGAAAAAATCTACAAAACCATTTAAACACTTAGCATTTTATTTGGGAATAAACTTTGAATTTTTGCCTTGAACTTTACAATGTATTTATTATAGCAATAATTTCATAGCTGGCTTGAAATTATTTAGTTTTTCGTTTATTATCTCGCATACGGCCATGAAGGTATTGCCATAAGAAATGCATTGTAAACTTCAAGGAAAAAGTTCAAGGTTGATTCCCAATTGAAATTCGAAGTGGTTTTGTAATTGTTTTCACTATCGACTATCGAGTGACATAAGAATCCAATGTGGCGTTCATAAGAAATAAGATTTACTCGAAACACAAATCATCAGAAAGCTGAGAAAAAATCACTAAGGGCTGTTTTAAAATTATTTTTTGCAGGGGCACCTTTAAAAATGATTATGTGGGTCACTCTGTAAAATATATTTGAAAATAAATGAGCGCCAACGCATTCTCGAAAATGACGTTTTTGTTTTTTTTTGCCATAACTTCGATATTTATAGAGCTACAAAAACGTTGAAAGGTAAAATTAATCAAAATAAAATTCTGCATAACTATGACCATTTAAGCGACTTTGTATCTCTTACGGTTTACCAGATCTCTACAGGGAAGATGAAAAAATGCTCACTCTGTATGGTCAAGAATAAATTTAACAAAAGTACAAAATGCTTGAGCCAGGTTTTATTTATTTATTATCCCTCTCTTGTCCTGGACCAAACGGCGACGTTTACACCTTCAATCTACAAGAAATGGGTGATAATTTTTGAAAATTCGCCATTCATTTTTAGGATTCTGGCCTAGTATTATTCTCTATCGTTTCATTGTATCTGAAATAAAATCGATCGTCGCACCTCTTATGGTTTCTTAACTTTCTAGAACAAAAGATATTGAGGGAGATAACCTCTTAGATCGAGAGCATGAAGATTATAAGTGATATACATCAAAATTTCCCTCTCCACGATCCTCAGAGCAGAGTTTTTCTAACTCTGGTGCAACCTTGTTTTTATAGTGAAATGAATTTCTTCGATTCAGCCGAGGCGGGAATCAAGGAATGAAAGATTTGTCCACGAGTATTGCAAAAGTATCAGGGCCGGATAAACCATAAGGCGAAATGGGCAATCGCCAGGAGCGGAAAGCGAATGGGGGCCAATTTTTCCTAATTATCAAACAAAATGTAAATGAGAATCGTACAACTTTACAGTTGGCGTGACGACTCCTCAGGAGACGAAACTCAACTAAATGGAAAGGAAAGTAAGAGAATAAACGTTTTTTATGCTATAATACACGCTTTATGTGCGGACCTAAGAAAAAAGAAATCTAGAGTTGTTCGGATTTATGGAAAGATTAATAGTATTGCCCGACGAAGAAATAAAAAACCAAGCAGTGAATCTAACAAAATGATTTCGATCAATACCTCCCTGATGAGTGCGTACAATTTAAATATTTTATTATTAGTGACCATGAGTTTCAGGGAAAATCAAAGTTAGATTTAAAACAGGTATTTAAAAATGTCGGAAAAACTAACCTGTACTTTTCCCAACACGAACATCGCTTTACGAATATACCTTTGTCTTCTAGCAACAAATGCGGCAGGTGAATGGTCGTTCTCTACCCTCAAAAGAAAAAAATTATTTGAGAAATTGTTTGAAAAATGATAAAACGAGCGACTTAGCATTACTAAATATTTTTACAGATATTTTTAATTCTTTGGACGAATATTCTATTATAAACAGATTTATTGCTTTAAATATTAGAAAAAAAATTTAAAACGTTCAGGAAATTTAATGTGGTTTTATGTTTGTCTATGTTGTTTGTTTATCTTTTGCCAAAATAAGATTTTATTTTCTGATAAAATGTCATTTTCGGTTAGTTTAAAAAAAATTTAAATGTTTCTTAAACTTGACGGAGATAATTATATCCATCCAACGTACATTTTTTGAAGGGGGACGGGGTGGGGGGCGAGAGAATTTTATTTGCCCAGGGCGAAAAATGTCTTAATATAATCTGTATTACACAAAAGAAACTTTCCTTTCCCACCTGTGAAGTATTTAGCAATAGGATGAAACGAACACCTATGCTTTATAATCAAAGAGATATAATCGTAATACTGTAATAGTACTGCAAAAGGGCTAAGTTTGTTTTAATTTCAGAAACATACGTATCAAGAACTCGGCGATCGATCGAAAGCGACGACATGATTGATATCGAAGAAGCGGAGAAACGTTTAATTTTCGAACTCGGCGAGAAAGTGTGTATTTACCCTAAGGTTTGTTTATACCACGCTCTGAAAGCCAGCCAAACCCAAGTAAAGGATAATGTCAGTGTAGATTGGAGCGATATATTCAGGTAAACAAACAAAAAAAGTAATTTAGATAGTAAATGTTTGTATTTACATGAAGGTTAGAAAATTGCTAACGTAATTTAACTTTCAGCCAATATAAAACGTCGAAAGAAAAGCACAAGGAGTATTATCTTTTGAGTATATTTCTGGGAGATATTGTCGCGTCGCCACGATTTTGTAATCAATTAGTTAAAAGGGGGCGTGCGTGTAAGGAATAGCTTTATTGTGTTTGCTTTTTCTGAACGTATATAATAAGCGTTATTACCAACGTACGCATCAAATATACGCTTAAATGTAAATGTTATATTTGTACAGTCATTAATGTGCAATAAACGCGGTATTGCACAGAGTTGGATGTAATATAAAGCGTAATCATTTTATCATTTTGTTAGGAATTGCGGAAATAGCAGTGTTTGTCGTTATCCTTTTTTTTTATGATCAAATAATTCCATTGTGATTATTGTATTTATTATATTGAAATAATTGGAAAAGATTGGAGTTTTTATATAAGTTTTCCCCGACAAGGCCGATTGGAGAACGGATAAATCAGTGTACCCGCCTCCAGGGTTCCCTTCTTTGCTCACATTGTATGATCCTCCACTAATATCCCCTTATTATGTCACTAACATAAATTATAATTTCAAGTGCTGTTTCAGGGACTCTAAACTTATGAAGAAAATTGTGGGAAGAACCCCATCATTTAAGATGATGAAACCGTGTATCATTCCAGATACTGGAATCTGATGTCTGCATGTCATTGAATGTAAAAAAGGAAGCTAAACGAAAAGAGAAGGGGGCGAATCAAGATGTAATCGCTTTTTTGTCAAGTACGAAGAAAAATTGACATTTTAAAGTTTCCCACAGGAGGCTATCTACGTGTGGAAAACAAGAATAGAATGTTCATAGAATCTCCATCGAAAATATGTAGCAAGCTCAAGAAAAGTAAATGACAAGTAGTTTCCAAACCAAAATTAGATTAGTCATACTTTTATATCCTGTGAGTTTTCAACACAACACGCACGTAGGTATTTTTACAAAAAACAATCAGAAAATCGTGCTATAACTTCTTCATTTCTGCAATTTATGATTATGACATTCAAACTCAAAACCTTCCTGTAAAGTTTGGCTGAGGATAGTCATTCCAGACTGAGGTTAAAGAAATAGGAAAACTCTTAATAAAGGCATTAAGCTAAATTTTCAAAAATGTTACAAGGAGTTTATTTTCTAGTTACATAAAATTGTTGATAAAATGTAAGAATAATTAATTTACCTTTAAATTGTTAAATTGTACACGCTACTTCAAATTCAGTACTTACTCCTTAGGTAGGTACTTACTCAATACCCGTCTCCATTTTTGTACCAATGCACCCGTGTAGTGCACAATTATGGTCTTATGGTTATGATTCGTTTTGACAACTTCTATTTGTGTGAATTCCGTCCGTCCCTCCACTTGAGGGTTGGAGGTTGGCAGCATCACTCAAAAATAGAAACACAAAACAGACGCAGAGCTATGCTACTCCTCCACTTACAAGAAATTTTGATTGCTTCCGCGGTGATTTTTATGCCCCGCGAATGTTCGATTCCCTGCATCGAACCATTGTATTCACACGTACTACACATTTTCCACAAATCGACCGGTGTTTTTGCATCTCGAATGTGAATAAAAACTGATCCGTCACAAAGGATTATTGACTTTTGTTTTCTTGGATTTTTTTGCTGCTTCAACCTCGTCGGAATTGATGCATAAATTGGAAATACCACGACAGGTGTTTGATTTATTATGTGCTTAAACAGATTTTCGTGCTCCAATGGCTTTCAGCTTTCAGACTAAGCGATGCAGGAATAGCGCGATAATTCGAATATAATGCCGAAAACCCAAAAGTTCTACGATGTTCCGTTGCCGATATCTCGATCGATTTATAAAAGACGCCCGAATAGCCGACAGTTACTGAAACAATAAGCTCCTTTTTCAGAATCAAACATGCGCTAAAAAATGAAATAACTGGAGATACGAATGAACTAGGGCAGCTGCATTTGTGTGTTTATTTAAATGCTAAAGATATTATTTAATCCTTAATTTTTATACCGGCATCCGTTTTCAGTTTCTTTATACGTACAATACATAATTTCAATCTGTGATAGGTACAAGACTAAGTCTCATTAAGCATTTTATTATATTTTGTCTGATATTACGTCAGGACGGTGATTCCTCCCCCCCCCCCTCTCCCTTACCCGTTGAGTGGGCCGACAGGATGTCCATGAACTTGGCATGCCTACTACAGCAGACCATGGTTCTGCTTACTCATATCGTTAGTGTTCCGTTAGTGCCGCTGAAGAAATCGTTAGTGCACAAAAGGAAACTTACTATTTTTAAAAAATATTTGTGCCTTCATGCCAGCAGACCCATTTAAGAAAATCGATGCAATCTTTACACTAGTTAAACTAGGAGCGTTAGTGCTCGTTAGTGCCGCCAATATAAACGTTAGTACTCAAAGTGTAACAGCTCAAAACGTTGTAAAAAGGGGTCTGCTAACTCCATGCAGCAGACCCACATTTGTCAAATTGGCCCTGTCCTAATACGAATATGAAGCAGCTCGTTAGTGCTCGTTAGTGCTTCACATGCGAACGTTAGTGCTGCAAGGGATCCGCACCAAAAAGGTACCAAACCAAAATATAATTAATTTACGCCTTCATTATACGTCATTCTACACCGGGCCGTGTAGATGGCGCTCTTTTCCGTGTCTCGCGTTACGCAAATGCAAATAATAGCGAGTTTCATGTATTAATATATTAAGGTATTTGACAATATACGGTATGTCGGAATTAATTTTTGGGGGGAAAGTTTGTTGATTTTCAAACGCCACTATCTCCTTATCGTACTCGTTTGACTTTTTATTAAAAGAAAATACTTACGACTTTTCACCCTGATGCTTTAAGAAATTCATTTCATTATTAGCCTGTAAAAAATTAAAAATAGTTCCAAAATACATTTCGTTCATTCTCTTCGACTTTTTTTTGGATTGGAAACAAATTTTGCTAGTTGTTGTGTTGAGAGGAGGAGGAGTCAGAGAGAGAGGCAGGGAGAGGACAATAAGAAGAAAGGGAGAAATGGGAAGGAAAGAAACGAGACCAAAGGATGGAGACAACGGAAACTAATGGAACGCCCGGGGGAGAGGGGGTCACAACACACAGTTATCTGTCCCCCCCCCCCCTATCTACAACCTCCCCAATCCACAAAATCTGCCACACTGTTTGGCATATGTCGCGCAATAGAAACAAAAGTGGTGGAGATGCACCCCTGTTAGTTCCCACCAGGGACACATCCTCACGACAGTTGACTAAATTCTGAGAGAGACGATTACGCTAGGCATATGCCAAAGTACCAAGTATCAAGTTTAATTTCTTTAGTGGCAGTTCTATTCTACCGGTACACAAAAAAACACAATTTTTTTGGTGACCCTGAGTCCGTTATGCTTAAGGACGTGCTTACTGTGCCTTTTTACACCTGTGGTAATACTTTGAAATTGGTGTAACGCGGTTTATAAAATTAAAAATGATGCATCCAATAGGCTGAAAATGCAATTGCACAAAATAACATGTATGTCGTTGCTTAAGATTCATTGCATTGGAAACGTTCCGACAGAGTAGTTCCATCTAAGCACTTTTACGGCAATAATTCTACTCTGAAATTACACAATCGCTGATTTATGTGATAATTTAAAATTTATTACACTATTGGTCAACATAGCAACTTATAAATTCACTCTGAATGGTCGAGAAGCATGCATTACGTAAACCTTTTCCAGAGCAGGTCGGGGAACACATATTAAAGATCGACTCTGATAGAATTGCGATAAACCTTCATTTAGTTATATCTAAGTACGGATTTGCATGGAATTAAGGGATAACCGGAAAGAGGGTTGCATCTAACGTGTTGCAATGTACTTTGAAGTTCACGCCTGTCAAAGGCTCTTTTGTTAAGCGTTACTTATTATTGCGTTCGTTTAATCCTTTACATCTATATACGTGACAATGAGTTATGATTTCTCGAATTTTAATTATCGCGAAACCTTTGAGGCTCATATTTCCGTTGAATGAGTTCTGCCCATTTTGTTTGTGGAACGAGATTATTCCCTATTATTAAAGTTGACTTTGAAACAATATACATTTCAAATATGTTTATACGCCGATAGAGAGTGCATTGTTGAAACTAGATCGTATACCAACCATTCTATCGAAAATATGAATTGTAACTGAAACCTGCTGAAATTGTGAAGAGGCGGCCATTGATACGTGGAACCGTAATTTCGTACCTACGCTAATTAGTCTCTTATGCATTGTTCCAAATTAATTTACAGCACCCTGTGTTGTATAGCTTTGTATAAATAAAAGCTTTTGATCCGTGACATCATTATCTGCATAATGCACTTTATTTGTTAATACTTTAATTGCAAGCGTAAGCTTTGTAGAATTTTGAGCTGGTTTCCAATGTCATTTTAAATTTAATCTCTTTTTCATTTTTGGTATTTAAAAAAAAATTTAATTGGTTTCGTTTTTGAAGTTTCATCGTTTCATCCTTGAAAATAGTTGCAGAAAACATTCCACACACACATTTAGGAAGTGCACTTCCAAAGTAACTTCCATTAATTTAATCGATTTCTGGGTAAATTTCAATTGCTAGACTGCGAAAGAATTATGAGTGATGGTAGTTGAAGCAACATAAACATGTCTATTTTTTTGAAAAAACTTTTTCTTCTCGTCAATCTTCGACTTCTTTCAAAGCTTTACGCATAAGTTTTTCTTTGCGACAAATTTCAGTGGACATTTCAAAGTACATATGAATAAAGTTGTACCAAAAATCAAAAAAAGTAAAAATCCAAAAGGAAAGGAAAATGCAAAACATTTTTTCAAAATCTGAAGGCAGAGGCACTTTGATAGAAACATATGCTCTACAGATGCAGAAACTACAGCTCAGCAACAATAAGTAGTTCGGAAGATAAAGAAATGAACGACAAAGGAACAGATAGTGAGTGAAAAGGGGAACAATCAAGATATCACCGAAACACAGACTTGCGGATCCTGGCAAAGATGAATGGTCTAATGAAAATATTAGACGTAAAAGAAGTTGACGATGATGTTAGTTTAAATTTTCGGCCTGTCGAGTCTACAGTTCGAAGGGAATTGTAGACTCTGCACTCTACTCTCCATTTTCAAACGGTCGTTCTTCTACTGTCACCAAGCACCTATTTCCAGTTCTGCTAAACACCCGGTATCTAGAAGCGGTTTAAGTTGCGGTACGAAAAGTGTCGTGTCGAAAGTATTTGTGTTGGTTCTAGAAGTTTAAGATAGAGGATAAAGATAATTGATTCAATTCCTAGAGTTGTGTTAACTAATTCGCCGTTTGCAACCGTTTCCGCCAAGATATTTCAGCTCTTGTCACTTAGATAAGAAGACGAAGCGAATTAATATTTTAGAATTTCAGCTGCGTTAATTATTTAGATGATTTTGGTTTTCTATGTTAATTTAAAACCAGCATTAAACCAGCAAGGTCGTTCAGTTTTATAAGGAAAATACCCACGTGATAGACTACGCCGCTTGACCTCACATTCCAAGGAACAAAGCAGCATTGCTGCACTGTCGAATTTGCAGATTTCATTCCGACTTTTGGATAAGTATAATTAACCGTAATTAGTTGAATGGGTTACAAATAACAGCCTCGGATCAAATCGAGATAACATCCGTTAGATGAATTTTAACTGGGAAGGACGTAATTAATTAAAGACGTTTTAATTTTCGAGCGTTATCGCCGTTGAGCAGGAAAAACCGCCGATCCCTCCATGGAATAGCCGAATTTTATATAAGGCTTAATTTATAGCGGATATAGCCTTTGGTGCTTAACTGTATTTAGATCTTTTTGCTTTTTGCATCTTTTCAAGTCACGTTCGTAAGTACCGTATTCTTTAAGTTTTCTCGTAAATTCACTTTAACAACCGTACCGTTTTTAAATCATAGATCTTTCTGCCTTTCGCACTTTCCCAAGCTACGTTTTGTGCGCTTTAATTTTGTTTCTGCATTCACCAGTAGCTACAACTTCCTATTTAAAAATGTCTTATAACGACAGTAAGAGAAATAATTTTTTCCATTTGATACTGCATCTTTTGATGGAAAATACAGCTTATACCTGCGCGAATTCCGATTCATTCTCCCTTTGTGAGTACTCTCCTCCAATACACCGTTTTTTCCCAGACGTGTCCCAATCGCCTTGGCGATTACACTCCTGCGATACGCCGCTCTTGAAATAAAAAGGAAATAACCGATTACGATAAGGGGTCGAGGTGAGGACTGTGGATGTGTGTCATTTGTACTGACGGGCGCATTTTCCACTACTCTTCCTGAAAAGGAGAAGCTACAATATAGTGAAAACTGTAACAGATAGTCGCTTTGCTGTATTTTTTGGAATTTGTATTTTATTCAACATAGAAAAATTTACACATATATCGCTTCATAGCGAACGTGAACTAAAGTAAGTCTGGCCATAACAGGCGATCACAAGAAATATTGGAGAAAGCGAGCGCGGTTGCCACGATGTCTTCGGACTGTGTTCAATCCATTTGAGCCGGGTGAAAAAACGAAAGTTTTCTATTGGTTGTTGTTTTCACAAAGGAAGGTCTGCTTCAGTTTTTTTAACGGGCGAGAGAAGTGAGAGAGCGAAGATTTTAAGCTGATTTTCGCTAGTTTTTTTCGAATCGCCAACAGTGCCAACAGTAACGGCTGGTAAAAAAGAAATTCTTGGGTTAGTGACGTCGTTGGATAACTAATTGTGCGATAAATAAAAACTTTGTATACGCAGCGAATTTAAAGACGAATAATCGACGCATTTTGTCCGCAACAAAACCTAGTTAATAAATTCGGCAAAATTAATATCAACCCGGCGGAACATTAGCATTTTATTCCTTTTCTAATCACTATTTCGAGTTTTATTTTCGCAAAATTGAAACCGGTTTGCTTGGATTCGCGATTCATACGATCTTTTCTTCCGTTAAACTTTGCATTCATCACGCAAATAAGTTACCAGGGTGGTGCAAAAAATTAACTGTAATATAGTGATTTCCTTCGAATAGGTGCAATTTTGCACTAGCACATGTGTAACTAAGATGTTGTGCAAGTTGCTATATCAATGTTCTAGATTTTAATTGCGTATTACATTTCCAAATTTAATCTATTTTCTAATTATACTAATTTCCTAATTTTTGGCCGGCGTCCCTTCTGTTTAATTTGATATTAAACACAGAGAGGGAGAGATAAAATCCATTGTTACCAGGAAAGAATATTACTTATGTATGTTAATTAGTCAATTACTGTTATTTTAATTTTTAGCGCATTTTGTAAGAATTAAAAAAAATGTGCTATTGTTTCCGTCCGTCCGGACCCACTTCTACCGTTTTGAACTACTTCTAGGGGAATGGTCCTAGAGTCCTGGAAGTTTTTGCAGTAGGTAGCCTATACTTTGTAGGTGTGGCAGACGGCCATGAAATTTCGCTGTCTAAAAGGGCCCCCCCCTCCACGAATTATTTTCTGAGATGCTGTTTTTGAAAGTAAAACGTGCCTAACTTTTACATACGACAACCAATTGGTCTCAGATTTTGCATACCCATACCTTTAGTGGTGCCAAGTTAAACTTTAGAAAATTGGGGGGGGGGGGGTAAACACACATGTTCTACCCTTAAATGGTATTCTAAATTAAAGGTCTCATCGAAATAAATTGGTTTGTACAAACTATAACTTTCCCGTGCGACTCTTTTTCGAGATCAGTGAGCGAGGGGCCTGAGGGGGGGGGGGGGGGGGTTAAAAATTAATTTTATCTCTCATTGTATTCTAATTAAAGGTCTCAAAGGAACAGTTTTCTACAAACTACTGCCCTTCTTTCTGCCCTCTGATCAAAGCACAGGGTGGAGGCGTAAGGGGGGGGGGGGGAACTGGTACTCCAATGAAAGGTGTCACCGAAAGGAATTAATTTATACTAACCATAGTCTTCCTCCTGGATCCCTTGTGATCGGTTATAATTCCTTATACCTTAAGACTGAATTGTCAAAGGAAAGTACCTACAAAGGGGGATTGGGACGTTTGGAAGAAATATAACCATTGGGCATGTAAAAAAAATTAATACATAGCCACTTGGAATAAAACCAAATTTAACGCCAGTTTCAAAATTTTGTTTTGCGCATGCGCAGTGCCAACTTTCTTATTTATGGAGGGATTGAATTGAAATTAGATACATAGCCACTTGGAGTAAAAGAAAATTTAACGCCATTTTCCAAATTTGGATTTGTGTAAGATGTGCAGTGCCAACTTTCTTATTTATGGAAGAAGTTTCGTAGGGGTGTTTAAAAAAAATGCGCTTTACCTGCACAAGGGTTGTGCACAATTTGTACTTGTTTTATTTGTACAAAGTAGTGGTCCGTTATTTTTAGGAATTTGCAGATTAAATTTGTTTCAACAATTTTAATATTCCTGAAGGAATCGACCCCTGAAAATTACTTGTATGAAACTGATTTGTATTGCATTTATTGATGGGACCCGGGTCGAAACAAAGGCTTTGGAAAATTGTATTTAATTTCAGTGATACTAGTCCTTTGGTTCGATTAGAATTTAGTTCAGCAATCAGAGAGGGGTTACATATTTTAAACAGGAGTAAGTATGTAGCAGGAATTTTTTATGTGTAAAAAAAAGTTTTGATAAGGATCAAATTTAGCATGGACACGTGATCACGATATAGGCATTGCATTTTTTGTATTTACTTCTATGAACTGACCCAAAATTTGATGTTCCGTATCCGCATTCAAGTTCACCGTTTTTGTAAGCCTCTTTCCGTTTCTTGTTTTCTGCCTTTTATTTAAAAATACCAGGGTAAAATACTTCACTACTGCTAGACACAAGAGAAAATTGCTTTTCACCTGTTCCTTGGTAGAGGAGTTAATGCTAATCTCTGGAACCACTGGATGTGCGTTTTTCATATGCTGACATGCGGAAAAACTATTGTGTGTTGCAGAAAAACGACGACTCTTTTGGTCGATTGAATTGAAAAGCGAGTGTCTAAAATCGAGTTTTTAGGTTCCTTTTTTATTCATTAGCATTAGCAACATCAGACTGCTTGAAACAATTTCTTTATACACCCTGTGATTACGTATATTACTTACATACGTATAAATTAAATAACTATGATCCGAGTTTAAAATCTAAGAAAATTCAAAGTAACTAAATTAAGAAGAAATTAGGTGCGACATTAAAAAGCTTCAATTGAACAACTTTGGAAAGAAAAACAAAAAGCGAAGATAAATACTTAAAATACGTACATTTTGATTTATCACATTATGCCAGAAGAATGCCCTAGTCCTACTTATTAAAATAAACAAAATCACTTGCGCCTACAACGACTCCGTTATCATCTAATATTAACTCGCCTGTACCTGTCCTATCAGGAAACACCATTGGGGTTGGTCGTACATTACCGTTCTCATAATTATCTGTAAACTGTATCTCCTTCTGTTTCCTAAACAAGCTGCCCTCGAAATTGTCGTCGAGATAGTTTCTGATAAATATTACCCCTGGATCTTGAGGTACTTCATCGTCAAAGACACTGGGAAACTTAAATGCGTCATTAATTGGCCTTGTGAAATATTTACTGGGTTGATTTTGTATTCTACGGTTATTGTTAAATAGATCGTTTTTAAACTGCGGGTATCTTTGTGGACGGGTGTTTTGGTTCAATAATAAGGGATTGTAATCATTTCCTGCAGGTTGCGGTCTTCCGTTAAAGAATCTAAAGAATCCACCGTTGTAGTTATTGAGGTATTCGATCAGACGGTCCGGATCTCTTGGGCAGTGGGGATATGCGTACATGCAGGAGTCAGTATTCCCTTTTGAAGTGTATCCTAAGAGGACTGCTTTACCAAATGATAGAATAGGCGATGTGTCCATACCGCCAATATATGGTAGAAATCTATAACCCAGTGCATAATTTTTTATTGGTAACATGGTGAACGTACCTGACAACCGAATCCAGATCTATATTAAACGGGAGTGACACTTTTAAGTCGTTTGATGGGCCTGACACTAACTCGCAAAGAAGGAATGGTACACATTGAAGTTCGTCATTCTTCGCGATTGAGTGTAAGGCGCTGGTAAAGCTCTGCTGTGGCTGCTGATAACCAGGCAAGAACTGAGGGCGTGGGGGATAGCCACCGTAATAGGGAAAAGGACGCATATGTGGATACGTAGCGAATGTAGGATTTTGCTTTGCTATAATTGCATTGCTTTGTATTGCCGGAATGCGCATACCCTTGCCGATGAATCGTGAAAACTTTTCTGGGTGCAGTTGAGATTCTGTTGGGCGCTTTTGAATCGAGTCTTGCTTGGATTGAACAGCATACTGAGATAGATTCCTAAAAATCGATTAAGTACGTTAAATTTTTCGTACTCGAACATTATTTAATGTAACTGGAATTTCTATGAGCTCGTGGCAATTACGGTTTAGGTCAGCTCATGATCTACGCAATTACAGAGGGTCCAAGTAAATGGATTTTAACACGTACCATAAAATCTCGTCAGTTCGGCTACCTGGACCTATACTGATAAGGTAACCATTTTGTATAACGGCCGCTATTAACAAAGTTACACTGCACTTGAAACTGTACATCGCACTGGAAATTAGTCGTTCATTTACGAAACAGCATTACCTATATTTTAAAGAACCGCAAATCCCACTTTAATAGAATGAGAATCTCTCTCCGTAAGAAAGTTATCGTAGGCGTCTTGCTTTAACTTATTTTGGATTGTACAATTCCATTTAAGTTTACTCTAAGTTGGCTGCAGCTCCCATTTCCAAACTTTTCACTTTTACTATTTACGTCACCGTTAATATTTTCCAGTGAGTAGGTACGTATAGGTCAAATATTTTGTTTAATTTTCAATCCACATACTTTTACTACCTTTTCATTTGCTTCATTAACTTATTACGCGTAATGTATATAAGTATCAAATTACCACTTACATTATTGTAAATATGGAAATAATGAATGGCCCAAAATAGATAAATTAAGTTCTTATTAGCGAAGGATTTTTTGATTATTTATACTGCACAAACACCTTTACAAAATAAATACCGCAAATTACGCAACTGGCAAAACTCCTTCAAGTCTGCGGTACTCTCCGCCCAAATATTCATCTCCAGGGCGTGAATGGTACAAACCCCTCCTGTCCTTAATTTTGGTAAACGTAAGGTTAATGGGCACTGAACACGATCCCGTAAGAAAAAAATCCATACCCTGAAACATGTCGAAACCAGTGAAAACATCGTGAAACTCGAAAAACCTATATTTGTACCCGCATCCGTTTTTCGTAAAAAAAAGTGTTCTGTTAAAATTCGAATTTTCATTTTTTTTGCAATAGGCGGCGATTTTAGACTAGTAAAAAACCCAAAGCAAATTGAACCTCCACGAAATTTGTATCCATACAAATTTTGTTGTCACATTTTTTTTCTGATGAAATTTGAATTGTCATTTATATTGCAGTTTTCGGAATTGCTAATGAAAAATCCCGAGTCCTTGACTAGCGAGTTATTTGAAAATGTTTAAAGGAGTTTATTTGATAATAGAAGTGATGTTTCCTTAAATACTGGAGGCAACGAGTAAACGCCGCTGTTGCTGCTAGTGTTTGCGACGGTTGAAAAGCGTGTATATCTATTTATGATAAATTACGGACAGTCAGCCCTATTCGTTTTGTTGAAGACGCAGTTCGTCATTTTTTTATAATAAATCTGTGCAGAAACAAGTTCACCAAAGTTGTGTGAGAAGTTTGACGCATGTTGTCCGATTACGGAAAGCGTTTTGTCGAGTTCAAAAAAGAAGCCAAAAGCAGTGTGATTCCCTTCGCTAAGGTTGTCTTCTTATTAAAAGTTAAATGTTTCTACCATCCGAACAGCCACCGAAAATTTGTTCTTTGTTCTTATTCATTAAGGCGGTTTTGTTTGTCATCTCTAAATCTGTGTTCAGAAGTTGTCAGCGTTTGTGTGAGTTTAATGCGCCTAGTATCGCATGGATTATTTGAAAAAACGCAACTAATGCCCGCCTTAATATGTCCAAACAAGCTTTGTAATCTTTTCTTTATTTTTTTGTTTATTCGAATCTAAAGTGCGACCCAGATAGAGTTTTCATGTCAGAATTTTTTATTCGTGTTGCCGTCTCGAATTTTTTTAAATGACAATATGGATGATTTAAATTCTTTCTCATTCCGAAATATGCGTAACAATGTTTCTTTAAAGCCTTATAAACTGCAAATCAATATATCGAACCATTTCAGTAGGAGAGAGCCTTGTTCCTTTACTGATATCAGATATAGGAAGTAATAAAAATGTGATTTTTTCCATTTTCCAAAAAAAGGTTAAATGTTTACATTACTAGAAAGGAGAAATAAGACGCTTTCATGTGTCGCAGGACCCACAGTGTCATTTAAAACAATGAAGAAATTTCTTTTTCATTCCCAAACACGTATGGCAATGATTCATTGAAGTCCACCAAACTTGAAATCAATGCCTCGAACGGTTTCAGTAGGAGAGCTTGGTCCCATTACTTTCTAGCCACTATGTATATACGTGCACATGTCATACTTGTTCGAAATGATTTAAGTAAAATGCACATTTCAATAACACCAAATTAATCAATATTTCAACAAAATTACTATAAGTTAATACTATTAACTTAATAGTTACGCAATGACCATCCATCTGTATGTACATAAACAACGACGACCCCCCCCCCCCCCCCAGAATCATCCAGCACCCACTCGGGTGCAAGCGCCCCCGTTGGGAATCTATGATCTAGCTCAATTCAACACTAACAAAATATTTTATGAAAAATAACTGTAACTTTTCCAGAGCGCGCCCAGCATCCGGCACAAGTAAAAATCTCGATAACTTTAATTTTATTAATTTGAGAAAACTTAGCAGCCGTGATCAACTCTACAATTTCAAAGAATTATACTACAAATTTTTATTTAGACACCTAGCGTAACTCTGGCTACCAACAGAAAAATTTAGAATGGAACTCTCATCTAAGTCGTAATTTGAGCTGGATTAATCACAACATAGAACATTTACAAATGAAACAAATTTATTAGACAAAATCAATCAAATAAGTCTGAAATCAAAATAGCCACTCAGGGCCAGAATACAAATACCACGCCATAAGCGATCGATTGAAACAATTAATTAAAGTTCAAGTGTTAATAATCCAAAATATCTGGCCAATTGCGCTTTCTACCACCACCACATGATACTTCAGCTTACGAAACTTCTTATCGCAACAAACGGATTTACAAGAGATAACTTTAACAAAACATTTACCCAATTAATTCCAGATGTTCGTTAACTTACTAACTGAACAATAAACAAGTTAAAAGGCGATTATCTAAACAAAAATTAAACATCGCATAATTCTAATACTACACATTGACCTCGAATTCAATTAATATCGTCCGAGATGGTGTTTAATCTTAAATTACAACCAACATTTTACTTTACAAATAAATGAAATCACCCATTATTATAAGCGCTAATGCCAAAGAAAACGTCCTCATGACGCAGTTTACTCAACAATATACAGTCTGTTTCAAATTAAGTCGGCACTATTGCTAACTTTCTTAGTTGTAAAGTTAGAACGACGGCTAAATAATAAAAATTCTGTATTGCTTCTACTGAATTCAAATCTGTAATTAAGAAAACAAAACAGCATCGCATTTTTCAGAGAATAACAAACATGTGACTTATTTATATGGAACACACTGTATACTATTACACTTGAGGACAGCTTATTTAATTCTCCACAAAAGTTATTTATGCACCCTACCCAAAATACTTCAAATAACCAAGATCTTTTAATTATTAACGATCCTCGAGATTGTTTATAATTTTGTATTGCTGTCTATCTGTCCGTCTGCCTGTCCGTTCGTCCGTCTGTCTGTCCGTGTGCACGATAATTTTGTGTAGAAACGTCCGATCGCTTTGAAAGTTGATAGACATGTTCCTCGGGATATATGAAAGGTCGCTATTGTTTTTTGGCTACGTAGACTAACTGGCCAAAAAGTTACCGCCCAAACCTCCAAAAAGGGTTTCTCTTATAACTCTCGTTACAAAGAACATATGAATGTCCGGTTTTCTGTGTTAGTAAATATTTCTTCAACTTCAGGCAACTATGCAGATGCAAAAAAATATTGCGCATGCGCATTACAACTTTTATTTTTGCGCAATCTCAATTTTTTTATTTGTTACGATATTTAATGGAACTGTTGTATATAGGCACCTCGAATAAAAGGGAAACTGATACCGACCAAAAAATTTGTTTTGCGCATGCGCAATCGGATTTTTTTACATCTCCGTTAGTTGTTAACCGAATTGCATGAAATTTTGTATGTAGGCACCTCAAATAAAAGTAAAACTAGAGCCGAATCAAACAATTTGTTTTGCGCATGTGCAGTCGTTTTTCTTTATTTTTTAAGATATTTACATGACATTTTGTATGTAGACACCTCGAATAAAAGTAAATCTGATACCGATCAAAAAATTTGTTTTGCGCGTGCGCAGTCGTTTTTTTTATTTGTTAAGATATTTAGATGAAATTTTGTATGTAAGCACCTCGAATAAAAGTAAAAGTAGTACCGAATCAAACAATTTGTTTTGCGCATGCAAACTAATGCCCATTCAAAAGTTCGTTTTACAAGCCATGCTGATCTGGTGGGACAGAATCACCTTCTTAAGGTGTATTGTAAAAATGATGTATGTGTGAAGATCTCGAGGATCGTTCGATATTCAGTTGTATCGGATTTTTTATTAACGATCCTCGAGATCGTTTATAATTTTATATTACTGTCAGTCTGTCTGTCCGTGTGCACGATAACTTTGTATAGAAACGTCCGATCGCTTTGAAAATTGGTGTACATGTTTTTCAGGATATAAGAAAGTTCGCGATTGTTTTTCAACTACATACATAGACCTACGGACCAAAAAGTTACAGCCCAAAATCTGCCCAAACCTCCAATAAGGGTTTCCTTTATTACTCTTGTTAGGAAGAATATATGAGTCGCCCTTGGAAGTTCAAGTGAAGTACGATTTCTCATGTAAACAGAAATTCCAAAGGTAACTCGAAAGGAACTCATTTTTGATCGCATATATGCAGGTACCTTGAATAAAAGCAAAACTTATGCCGATTCAAAAAATTTGTTTTACAAGCCATACTGATCTGGTGGGACAGAAACAACCCCTTAAGGTGTATTGTAAAAATGTAGGTGTCATCTTCATTGACAACAGCGACGTCAACATTACCTTCGAAATCATTTTGTATACGGCGTCCACTATCCACTTAATTACCCTGGGCGCACAAGTGCCCATGAT